TTTTGCTAATATAATTTCATTAAGTGAAATTTCGTTTGATGAACTTGAAAGATGTTTTTATATAATGAAGAATACCATTGAAGAGACAAATTACCAAAACAAGTTAATGGAGTTGGTAAGGAGACAAAATGAAATCAAAACTTCTTTGGAAATGACTCCTTTAGAATCAGAATGGGAAACAAACAAATTTTTGTCAACTTTTACAGAATTTTTAAGAATGTTAGAACTCTGCTTTGATGTTACCCAGCGTTTTTTAGGCATGAAACCACTTGATAAAATGGAAGTTTTGATTGAACTCAAAAGAATGTTAATAAAATTGGCCTTCGACACTGAAAACTCAGTCAAAGTACATTCATATTATCGAGGACTTATTTTTGGTCTTCCTTTTGTTGAGGCAAAATTGCACAAACAATTCATGTCCCATGTTGCTCCTGGAGCTGTTGAAAGAAAAGCTCCAAAGAAATTGTCGGAAACTAAAAAAATGAAACAGTTAACTGGACAAATGAGTCTACTTGCTGTTAATTCTCCTCTTGCTGAAAGTGTACAAACATCTTCTGAACAAAAGACTGGTAAACAACATTTTAAAACATATCCAACAACATCTAGAGGAGCTGAAGGCACAAGTTGAAATAAATCAATGTTTAAATTAATTTAATGAATTGAATTGAATATAGCTTTTGATTATTTCTGTAATTATTATATTCTGTTCACAATTGTTTTAACACATGAGTGAATTTGACAACAAAAATTATTTATATACAGTCAAACCTTACAAGAGTGAAGGGTATGTTATTCTCTTTTTTACAAAAGAAAACATTCAATTACCAATTCCAAATATTAGTTTATAATAAAATATTTTTTAATGTTAGAACGATCTAATATAACCATTCTTAAAAAGTTGTTCTCTACAAATTTATTTTTATGTTTCTTATATTATTACTTATTATATAGTATATCTTTTACATTTCAAACAATATCTTTATTATATTTTATTATTACATTATTTTTATATTTGTCAACCCAACAATTAATTTTTGATTTAAAAAATAAAAATATTTTTTTTATATTTTTATTTTATTTATTTATAAAATAAATATACCTGTCATCACTTTTGAGGGTATTTTGAAATAAAATAAAATTTTTGTGATACAATATAGTAAAATATTAAATTGGTGTTATTTATATGTGTCAAAAAACATATACTTCAAAGTTTAATAACCAATGTCATTTTATTTATTTTGTTGTATTTAAAAAGTTATATTATTTGATTTTAATGAAAATATTGCTTATATGAACATTTAAACAACAGAAATCATGATTTAATCTCATTTTTTAGAACATCAAATGATATTTAAAACCTATTTGCTTTGAGTTATTAATTCTATTTTCATTTGTTTTCAATTTTTGTTTTCCATTTTATTTGTTTGTCAAAATTAAATTCTTTTTAAACATAAAAAAATCAAATAAAATGTATTATTTTTTTTGAGGTAAAAATTTTAAAGTTAATTCCAAATAATTTTTTAAATTCAAAGTCCGAAATCTTAAATTATGAATTTATTTTTATTAACTGTGATCTGCTGTGTCAACTCTCAACCAATTGCTGATTATCAAGAATCAATTAAAGCTTGTATTAGAGACTTCATTCAATCATATAATACTTTTACTAATAATTTTGATGCGATGAGAATACAATTTTCGAGCCATTATCCGATAACACAGAGAAATGATGTGAATTATATCGATTCGACACAAAATAGAGAAAAACGAGTATTACAATGTTTTAGAGAAATCAACAGTATGAATTTTATATCTCAAACTGATTTACATAGATGTCTTAATCGAATGAAATCTTCTTTAGAAGATAAAAATTACATATTTATTTTAACTGAACTTCTAAGGAGAATGAATCAATTAAAAGCATCTTTTGAAACACGACCTCTTGGAACAGAAGTGGTGATTCAACAATTCATATCAACTTTTCCCGAATATTTAAGATTATTGGAACATTGTTACAACTTTGTTGATTGTTTGATGAGAGTTCAATTTTTCACTTATAATCGTCTTCTCATAAGTTTAAAACAACTTTTAACAAAAATTGCACTGGAAATAGAAACATCAGTAAACTCGTATGATTATTACAGAGGTCTTACTTTTCATTTGCCTTCTGTTTACAGTACAATACACAAAGAATTTTTAGAACATATATCACCTGGTGCTAGTGGAAGTGATAAAGGAAAAAAATTGACTTCGAAGAGAACATCGATGAAACACAAAGGTGTATTTAGTAGAATGGAAGCGAAATCTCCTTTGGTTGAAGGTGAAGGTCAAACTACAAGTCATAAAAGAGGATCGGGAACAAGTGTTACTTATACATATAGAACAACTCCAACAACTTCACTGGCAAAAACGGAAGATGAAACGTCTTCAAAATAATTATTCATTGTTATATTTTATTTATTTTTGTTGTTTTTATTCTTAAAATTATATCGCTTGTGTCTATGTCAATGAATTATGCTTGTATATATAATTAAAAGTTAGAAGTCAATTCGATTAATGAACAATCATTATAAAAATAGTTGTTATGATTACATTAATTATAAAATTATTGTTGTGTTTTTTTTCAAATAAATTGTGTTATAACAAGACTCTGTTTCATAAACAGAGCAAAGTCTTTTATAATAAATTAAATTAATAAAATACATATTATTTGGTATTTTATGTTTTCTTTAATTTGTTTTTTATTCTTTTTAAACAAATCATCACCAGGTTTGTCATTATCATTTGTTTGATTAAGTATAATCAAAGATCACTTTGACACTTTATTTTAAAAAATCATTTTCTGATATAATAAATGAAAATTATAGATATCCATAAAAAGAAATTATGAAAAATTTTTTTATAATAACATATGGTTTTTATTTCAAATGTTTGTGTAAACATTGCACTGTGTTATAACTTATGAGTAGTATTCGTAACTTATGAATCAAATAATCAATTTTTAAATTTAATCAATAATAACTTTAAATGATATAATAAAACGATTTAAATAATAAAAAAATAAAAATAATGACACCCTTTTTTTATTTTTAACATATCAATTTAATTTTGAATTTTATTATTTTGTTAATATTAAACTTATAACATCTTCAAAAATAAACTTCAAAAATACACATATTTTAACAAGAAAAACGTTAGAAGTAATGTTTTTGTATTCATTATTACGATTATTAATAATAGATAATTATCAAAATTTATTCAACACTCAACTTTTTAAAGAATAACAAACATCTTTTTATTTCCATGGTTGTCATATTTTTGATTGTTCTTAGTGTTTGCAAAGGAGTTCCAACGTTAAATTTTTCGGAAATTGAGGAAGAGATCCGAAAAGCATTACAAAGAATTATTCCTTTATTCAGAAATTTTGTCCACAACTTTGAATTAATGACAAAACATTTCAAAAAACACACTTCACATACAACGAAAATAGACCTACGATATATTAGTACAATTGAAAATCGAGAAGGAAATATTTTAAAATGTATTAACAATTTATTATCCACCCTTCAATATTAGAAAATGATTTCAATCGTTGTTTGAATAAAATAAAAACTTCTTTGAAAGAGTCAAATTACTTATTTATTCTTACTGATTTGTTAAAAAGAATAAATCAAATTAAAAAATTACTTGAAACCAAACCTCTAAAAAGAGAATTAAAAAATACAATTTACATCGACATTTGTCGAATTCAAATTAATGTTTGAATATTACTTTAAGCTAATTACAGATTTAAGAAAGATTAAAGGTAACTCCAAAAATGAATTATTGAGGGAATTGAAACAACTTATAATTCAAAGTGTATATGATACACAAGAAAATGTTCAAAAATGTGAGTACTACAGTGGTTACAGATTCGAACTATCGGGGTTTGAGACTCAAGTCCACGAAAAAGCAGTGAAACATATCAAGGCTGGAATTATAAAAAGTGGGCAACAGAAAAAACTCTCATTCAAAAGAAGTACAATGAAACATAATGGAGAGTTTAGTAGTTTGGCTATATCTACTCCTTTAGTATCAAGTGAAGTCACAACGACGAGACAACGAACATTTAGCAATGGTCAGATTAAAAATGTTTATCGATCGACTCAAAAACAAAAAACAGAACCTTGACATTTATACACAACTTCGTATCACATTAAATAGTAGTATTAAAACTAACAAATAATTAATTAATCAATTGTTATATTTTAAAGTAATTATACTGTTATCAAGTAATTTATTATATTGACATGTTGTATTATTTGTAAAAATAATTATTGTTGACTTGAACACTATTAATTGAATAAATTTAATAATAATTAACTTTTTAATATTAATGTTTAATGTTTTTTTTCTAATTGTGTACATTCAAATAAATCTTCAGATATTAAAATTGATAACCATTAAACTATTTTAAATATATAAACATCAAACATAAAATTATTATGTTTGGAAATAACGAATAATCATACTCTAATATACATTATAATATTATTTTAATACATTAAAAGTTAAGTCAAGCTTCAAATAATGACTTAAAAATTTTTATTTCACAATTCAAAAAACAGCATTTTTATATATAAAATGTATGTTGTCATACACAACTATTCGTTGTATAATAATATTCTGTTATTCAAAAGCAGAATAAAAGAATAAAAAATTAATAACAAACGTGACAATACAATTCGCCTTTTTAAAATGTTTTAAAAACTTTTTTAAACGCTCTTCTATTAAAAGTTTTCAAACAGCCAATACCATTTCTATTATAAATGACAATTATAAAATTAAACAAACATAACCCAATTAAAAAAAACAGAATACATTACTTATTGAGCTATAACAGCCTTTTTCGTTGCATGGGGGTCGACAATTCCCTCTTTGCACACCAGTTTTTTGACCATGTCCAAAATAAGGGAGAACCAGTAGACATGTAGTCCAAACAATGCGACTAACATCATTACACAGACTATCCAAATTAGCTTCCCGCACGATGCGTCTTTTGGTATATAATTTCCCGCATTAATAGCAGCTGGTATGATGTACCTTGGTAACACCCATAGTCTAAATCTGGCATACGACACTAATACTCCACTAAATGCCGTTACGACGACGTAGTCATTCGCCACATCATTCAAAGCCTTTCCCGCGTACATAATTGCGTCTACGATGTCATGTAATATCATCACTAAGACTCCTATTCTCGCGCAGTTATTAAAATAGCTGAGAAATATTAACATCACGGTGACTAAGTGGTGTAACAAAGTCTCGTAGAAGTCATTTCGAGGGGGGACGATGAACATGTGATATATCAACGAGTGCAAATGATACCCCAATTCAAAGGAGTAATAGAACGCAATGTACTTGACTGGTTCCATATATGGGAAATTCTCCCATAACAGATTCAAGTCACTTTTCCCTTGACCAAAAAGAGCTTGAGGCATCCAGTCTTCATTTCTGAATAAGTAGAATCCAATTGGTGTGACAATGAAGTAATACACAGTCTTAAAAAGAGTCAGTCCAAAGCGCTCGACTCGGAAATTCCTGAAGTCCTCCGTCCACTCCGCTTTGTGTGGAATGAACTTCTCGCCAAGTTTCATGAACAAATTGTTCGCGAGGACCTCGCGAAGCCCAGAGATGATTAGAACAAAGAAGACCGTTGGTAACAAGTCTAAGAGTGATGGGACGTAATCGCTATATTCGTCTGAACGGAAGAACGTCGATGGTACACAAAGAGCTACAAAGGGAAATAGAATGAAGAGTTGAAGGACAAATGAGTGATCGAAGACGCCATTGACCTTTGGGATACTTTTCATAGTAAATTGGTGTGTGTTTTGAAGTTAAAAGTGTTTATATAGTGTCATATCCTTTGAAGAATTTCTGTGGAGAAATAAGACCGAAAATTGGTGTCTGTTATGTGGAGGAAATCTGCTCATGATCCAGTCGCGATAACTTGCGTTCTCTTTTTCGGTCAAATTTCTGGGCATTTCTGTGGGAATGGCAATTTTCAGGTGTTAAAAATAAACTTTATTTGACCCCATATAACCTGTGTGAATACAAATAAAAAGAGTAAAAGTGTGGGAAATCTAATTTTTGGTGAGGTAAAGAAATTTTGAATTAAACTCAAATTGTGGTTAATAGAAAACAGAGGAAATAAGGCCAAAGCTATTCAATTAGTTTTATTAATTTTTTATTATTGTAGAGTGGCATTGACAGCGGGCTGAGGAGAGACGTTTCATTTTGTGTTTTTTAAGACGGAAAATAGGTGAAAAAACAACTCGTGTCGAGACGTGTGAGCTTTACATGATAAAATGTCACACTTAAAATAGTTTGGTCTGTCGAATAACAACTTTGTTGAATAAGATGACCAAAAGTGCATTACTTCATTGCTACATGTTAAATTTACGTGTTTTTTTTAGTAAAGTGTTTTTTTGGGACATTTGAGGAGAGAAGTGGATTTTGTGAACAAAATGTGGGATTTATAATTTGACAAAAGACTTTTTGAGGTTTTAATTTTTGGTTGTTTCTTTTTGTATTTGCTGCTATCAATTTTATGTTTATCATTTCCCGATAAAATGTTTTATTTACTATTATTATTGTAAATTTATTGATTCAAATTAAACCCTTTTTATTTATCGGCATTTTCTTTTCATTTGTTTTTTTTGAAAAAAATTAGTTATAATATTAAAAATAGTATAATTTATTATTGTAATAATTCATTTATAATTTTTGCACAAAAACGTTTTCACTAATCTTTTTATAGCTTTATTGTGTTCTTTTTTTTACTAATATTATTAATATTTTAATTATTCTATAGTAATAAAATCAATAAGTCATTGTTGTTTTTAATAACAAAAATAGAAAAATGAGAAATACAAATTCCTGATAAATGACACAATTTTAATGCCAATAAACAACCTACTTTATCAATAAAATTCCAATTGTTTCTTCAGGGTTTATTTAATTTTAAGAAAATAAAATCCTTTTTATCATTAAGGTTGTTTTTTAATTAAAATATAGTTTATAAATGGCTTTTGATTTTTGTAAAGGAATGAAATTGTTTAACATAAACCCTAAAATAATACAAATAAAAAAATTGTTTGAAAAAACATTTTTTATTGTTTGTTTTATCTTAAAAATAAATATAATATTAAAAATTAATATAGTCGGGGGATAAATAGCATTAAAAAGGGACAAAGGTAGTTAATTGATAAATATAATTTTGAAACTATAATTTTTAAAAAATCTATTTAAAGGTCAAAATAAACATAAAATTAAAATAATAATATAAATTATCGTTTTTTATTTAATATGATTATAAATTGAATAATTATAAATTTCTATTTCAAAAATAAACAAAAACACCTCAATTTGTTCACTTAGAGAATGTGGAAATCTAAAACGCAGCACTTTTTATAATTTGTCTGAAACTTGTTTTGTTAAAGAATTTTCCTTTGTTTTTTCCTTTGTTTCATTTCTTTTCTGCTCTTCTTCAACTCCAATTGTTTTAATGTTAAAATGGTCTTTCTCTTTTCCTTTCTCAATGGGAATGGTTCAACAACGAAAGATTGAAAGATTTTAACAAATGATAAATTTTCAGTGATTCCGTGACACTTTAAAAAATTGACACTGTTGTTAATTCATTAAACTCTGGCATTTTAACCATATATATCATGAATATATTGAAATACAATTTTTAAACTGGTTTCTTGTATTTGAATTGCTTTTTTATGTTGATTGCCTGTGGTTGTTTCATCAAGGGTTCCTTTCTCTACTTCTTCCATTGTTTTCAAAGATTGAATAATATCAAAAATAGAAAGTTATGGTTTTCTTTTATTATTTTCAAAGTAGTTAATTGAAAAAACCCTTCTAATACTTTTATGGTTAAAGAAATTATATTTTATAGTTTTTTACTCGAATTAACTACTTCTGTCCCAAATTAACCCCCTTTATCACCCGACTATAATTTAAATTTATATTACTAAAAATAAACTAAAAAAATCTATCAATATATAGTATTATCAACCACAAGAGAAATCCAAAAAAATCACAAATCAATCAATTTTCGTTTTGTCTGCGTCTTCCCACCTTAACGCGTCCATTCTCATATCGTCGACTGGATAGATTTTTCTTTGGTACAAATAAGCCACAAAAATCAAGTCATCTCTAAAACACGAGATTCTGTGTAAAGTTGGCATTTTGACAACAAAAGAGAACAGATCGTCGACAATAGTATTTAAAAATTTATATAAAAATACTTTCCAAGGCATATTAGCAACTGATTTCATTTTATAATTAATAAATAGTTGTGGCATCATTTGGACAAATCCAAAGGTATAAACTAAACCGGCTAATATACTAATAACAAAAGAATAGATATCATTAATTTCGTTTGTTAAAATCATATAAAGTGTATATAACACAAAAATAGGTCCACAAATAACACCAACCCAGAACAAAGCAATATTGTCATATTCTTTCGTTTTTGTCATTTCATCTTGATTCGCTTCGTTCCGACCTTTTTGTTTTCCAAATGAAAAGAAATCAAACACTTTAGAAATCTTGTAGAGATTGACAACCACGCCAATAAACGAAAATATTAAAATCAAGAGACTCGCATCACTATTCTTGAGATATAGAAAAATTATAATTTGCCCAACTAATTCTAATATGACACTTTTTGTAGATACGCCTACATAGTGATCTTTTCCTCTCCAAAACTCAATCTCATTTGTATATGCCATAACTTCAAATAGAGAATGTAACACAGTCACCACCGCCGTTATACATAGAAGTCCCTTGTTAGTCTCATAATAAACTCTCTTCGTTTCCTCTACATCGCCCTTTTCTAGTAACCCGCTCCTCTCATACGCCGTCACAGTAGCGTAAACGACTCAG